TGTAAATCCTATCATTCTAATGATGGGGGGGGTGTATTTTTTGTTTGTTTCTCCCTTGCTGTGATGTACTTTTTAAATTTGTTTTTGTTTTCTTTCTAGAGACTGGCTTTGAAACGCTCGAAAAATAGGGGGAGGGGATTCTGGACAAGGCTAGGGCATATGCAAGTTTCATAGAACATTTAGACTGTTCGCAGTCGGGTGGATTGCAGTCCACGGATCTTACATTCCATCACCATTGAGAGTGGGTGTATTGGAAAAGGAACTGTACAGGGTGTATAAAAAATCAGCAATTTGTTTTGTGCTGTAACTCATTAACTAATGAAATTCAATTTTTATAGGTATGATAATTTATTTTTACGACGAAAGTTGTTATAAATTGTAGTGGTATACATTGTAAGATGTCAGATGACACTTTTATAACAGTAACTGTCATTTTCTTTCATCGCACCAAATTATTTCATGTATTAAATTTTACTTATATTTTACAATATATACTGTGAACCAGAATAAAAGTTTTGATAGTTGAATCTGTTATATATGTATAATTTGTATGTACAGTGTATTAGAACCATAATATATTTGTTTTAGAAATAAAATCATTGAAATTTGCTATAACGTAATACGTTCTATAGAATTGGTCTTAGATATAACAATTCATTTATACATTTTTTACAATGACATAGATAACTGCAAAAACCTTAAAAACGAAATTAAAAATGTTTCATCTGTATAAAAGAAAGAATTTAAACATTTGGTGACTGAAAAAAGATAACTTTGTATAAACTTTCTCGAAATGGTTAGAATTCTCTCTCTCTCTCTCCCCCCCCCCCCCCCCCCCAACGTTTTCAAAAATAATAAGAATGATATTCAGAAGTCAATCCCATGCATAGCAACGGTTAAAAAAAAAGGGGGGGGGGGAGATTCCAACATTGTTAATCTACAACAGAAAAAAAAACATATGGGCTTAGAACCACCCCCCCCCACCCCCACACACACACATGCACGTACTACGAGCCCGAAAGCATAATTCCAAAAGAGTGCAAGATTATTTTTTTTGGGGGGGGGGGGGTTACAAGTTCCTGGCAGCACTGTTGTCTTTATATTTCACATTAGAATGAGTTTACACAAATTACTTTTCTTTGGTTCTAAAAGACTTCCCATAATGATTGCAAGTATACTGTCCTGCTGCGTCACTTGGTATTGTGGAAGAAAATATTTGCTGGTAAATAATAATCTTCCTGCATTTGTTGCAGTGCTCTTTTCTCAAATAGATAAATCTGAACGGTTATTAAAACAGTTTTAAAAGAAGCAATACCTCGAAACTTATGCACAAATAAAATGAGAAAATATCAAATGTATTTTTAGTTTTTGTAATCGTTGTGATGGTGAATTTCTGTATTGTTTATATACATAGCAAAGTGATTTGCACAGGAAAACAAGTCCTATACCGCGCTTTGCAAATGAAATATTTCCTATACTCCCTTTATTTTTGGAATTAAGACATTTTTTTTTCCATTTTGTCACAGAAAGTCATGTTTGAATAAGGGGTCTTGGTGTAATATATGATATGAGTTTCTCTTATTGACCATTCAACAGGTACTCTGTTGTAAAAGACATTATTTATACTCGTATGATGACACACGTATCAAATCCAATCCTGCATGGCGTGTCGTTTTAGTTCAATAGATTTTTTGGTATGTAATTCGTGCGTATCCAAAAGTATCCCCTTGAAGAGACAAATAAATGGTTCACCGAAACGACATATTTTGATATCGAATTAAATGTTCGAATCACTAAAAAAATCGTGATGTTTGCTGACCTTCTTTCCAGTCTTCGTTTCGACTCCGCCATTTTTGCGGTTGCAAAGTAAAATACGACTTTGCAAAGTAAATTAGGCTGGACCCCTTGGTATTATGCAGTGGACTAGTGGTAACTGAATAATCAATTGTATATATACCACAGTAAAATAATTAATTTTAAAAAATAGATCTAATAACTTTTTGCTAATGTCATCCAGTGTTTACTAATAAAAGAAAACTCATATTCAGCTAATATTTTCTCCGGTACCACTGAACTAATTTAGGTCAACTAGGTTCAAATGATAAGCATCAATAGATTTAAAGCACGTAAATTTATAAAATGAATAGCTATATTCCATTTTTTCTTGGGAGGGGGGGGGTATTGGAAAGAAATAAAAAACATAATTTAGAGTTTTGACAAAACTTATGGAACCAGTTGACCTTTTAGTTTGCAAGTTTTTAAATTTAGAGAATATTAATGATCAATAGGTCTCAACTTTGTGTTGTATACTTTTGTTTATAGAATGAAATTCGGCACTTTGAAGCCAAACTCGGAAAGAAACAGAATTGGATGAGCTGATATACAAATAAACAGGAAAAACCTGTAAATAATACATTAGTAAAAACGTTAACTTTTTAAAATAAAATGAAAAACCATTGAGATTTCTTGGAATTTAATTGATTCCAATAAACATGCTTTGCATCATTCCTCAAGCCCAACTAGAAATGGTTCCAAGTATATGAAGGTAAAGTTGTATAATATTATTACATATTAATTTAAGCACTTTTTCAGATTATGAAAATACATTATTACAGTACAGACCATTGATGCTGGAAGTGAGTGGGTAGTGTTACTGGAGACTCAAGGATCCAGAAAATAGATCCATAAATTGTACAGTGTATTCATGAAAGTGGATCAAATAAAAATGTTTAATCGAAAAGTAACATTCTTGGTTTATCTGTTAGCATTTTTTGTTGATGAAAATCTAATACCTATCAATTTTTGGCATGCAGATTCATAATTAGATAGTAGAAGAATCTGAAACATATCTTTATATTCTGCATTTTGAAGTTTCATAATTAAAACGAGGTCAATATTAAATGATCAATCAATTAATTTCGAAACTGAAAAAAAATGTTTTTGTGAGAAAAAAGAAAGATGACTAGTTTTAAAGTCAGATGACACGTTACTCAAATTTATGTTTTGTATCCCTAGGTATTATATAAAAAATATTCATATTTGTCATTCTCTTCTGATTTCTACATTGTTTTCAAAATGTTTTTACGTAAATATAAATACAACAAAAATTTCATTATATGCCATTCAAAAGATTACCCATTTAGGGTTATTAATATGAAATATCTTTTAGGGACAGTTCAAGTTTAGACATTCATATACCGTATATATACTCAACAACAAAAGAAACGCATATTGTTTTACTCGTCAAAGAAATTTTTAAAATGTACATGAAACAACTATTTGTTATATAATTGGACACCAGTGACCTATTTAAAGGACAACATGGGGTTTTAAAACCCAAGTGTTGAATTATCTCCCTTGATTTAACATGTTTGTGAAAGTAGTGTTTTTCATGATTTCCTCAAAATCAGATGTCTATTTTCATTGCTATTTTGGATTTAGAGAAACTTTTAACACTTCTATTAAACCCATATTTAAGATTTGATTGCAGTGTTAATACTACAATGCCACGCCCAAACAAAGATGAATAAAACCAGGCTAACGATGATACTAAATGGAGCTACGCAACAGGAAGTTGCAACTGTATTTGAAATAAATCAATGGGCTTTGCAACATTAAAACTAACGTCTGAAGACCACTATCTGGCCATCTGCATGTAACCACAACCAGACTGGACCGTCAGACACCCCCCCCCCCCGCCTTCATCACCTCATGCAATTCAGAACTTCCTGTAAAAACTGCTGCTACAAATTTTGCTGGATGACAAAATAAGCATAAAAATGCATAAAATGTTCGCATGAGACTAAAATGAGATGATCTTCCCCCACGATATCAGTACATTGAAAATTCACTACCATTGAGATTTTGCACAGTAAATATTGTTATGTCTCTTGAATTAGGGGGCAATCAAAATGACCTCTTGACTTTTCAATTTGCAACATTGATTTTTATCACAACACACTCTAAAATCGCTTAAATAATACAAGGTTTAAACTGAAAACTTAGAATTTCATATCATTCTGATTATGCGTTTCTTTTTTTGTTCAGTATATTTATGTACATATTATGCATACATTTTGAAATGAGACGTCTTTAATTTAAATAAAACTTAACAATATGGTATGACATAAGCCTATTTAGGACCTATAAAAAAATGAGACTGATATAACGAATTGTCAAATTTGTTATAGCACATTAAATTAATGATAACGATTTCTTTGAATAAGATAAAATAAATTTATTCTTTTATTATTAAAAATCTAATAGCCGAATTTTTATCCCCATACATTCTTATCATAAAGTTGTAATGGAAATCATACATGATTACATTCTATTGAATTCGTCATAACAAATTCAAAAAAATGTTTATAAGAATTAAACTTGTTTTAACGAATTATAAAACTTGTAATCTCGAATGGAGGTCGTTAAAATTAATTCTGATTCATTAATTTGTTATAACGAATTAAATTCATTAACACGAATTCGACAAATAGTTATATCGAATTCATATATTTCAATATATACTACTACCTTCATTCGTGAATTTGACTAAACGAACTTAATTTGCTAAATACCTGGTATAAACTTTGTTTTGAATTTGTTTAATCGAATTTAATTTGTTGTAACAAATATTGAACTCATTTGCACGAATTTAATTCACTATGACATGTTTTTCTTTTCGTTATAAAGAATTCAACAAATTTTTAAGATCAGATTACAATAATGGGATATGAACATACCATTAAAATATTAAACCATAACGCTATATATACAGTTCTGCAGCTATTTGCATCAATGTCAGAAACTCACAAATTTTGATTGGGTCATAGACCTATAAATTGCTTATCCATTAAGTAACAAGAGAGGAAACAGCTCATACAAAAAATGAAAGACTTTCATACAATAGGCAATTTTTTCCATTCTTTTTGTTTGTGTTTTTAAACATACTTCACAATATGACTCAACTCCAGTCCATAACTCCAATCCATGAATTATACGTTGCCAGTTATAAATAGACTCGGAGGAATGTACAGCCATGCTAGAGAATCGACGGTAAAATGTAAGTTTTTTTTCCCTTGGCATTTACTTTCTCTCTGATCTAACTTATTAATCTTTTTAATGTTTTGTTCATCGTTGTTTTCACATAATGTTTTTGCATAAATATATTTGGTAGTTATTTTCCAATTTACACCTTTGAAAAAAAGTTCACTACACCATAATGGTCACTACATGGAGGTTAATGTAAATTAAGGAGTGGACATTGTGGAAATTATATCTAAATATTTTTGTAAACATGTCAACATCAAGTCTATCAATCATTGAATTATATTGTCAACCTACATGTATAAAACATATAACTTTTAGTCTTTCACTGTCCATTTATGATAACATAGTACTTAAAATTTCTTGGACTGCAACAGACTCTGCCACAGCTACCGAATACATACGACAAAGCATCGCCAGCTAGGGCTTGTCATCAGGATTGATATTTGCTTTTAAAATAAAAGAATAAAATGTTGAATCTACTTTATAAAATTCGAAAAACTTTAAATACAAGTAAAAATTGTCAAAATAAATATTTTTACACTTTCAGTCAAGAAATACAACATTAAACTGTAAAGTGACCAAAACCTTGAATGTAATTGATCACTGGCACCATAACTTATGCTCTCAAACCAACTGGGCGGATCTAAGGACTGGGAGGACCTAGCTTCCTGGAATTTTAAGATTTATTGAATTTCTATGTAAAATTAATAAAAACATAACAAAAGACCCTTCCATGCAGATGCACACATGGGAAACACTTGTAAATAGTATGGAATGTTATCAATATGATTTTCGAACCTCTTCCTAATTTTGAACTTGGAGTATGTTGTTTGAGTTAGTTTTTTTTGTCTATTTTTTAAAAATCTTTTTATTTATTTAATTTTTTTTGGGGGGGGGGGGGGTATCTCCAGTCTGACATGTGTTATAGTTTTGTTATACTCACTGCTGTATACACTCATATCTTTTCTAATTTAAATGGCAAGGTTCCTTTCTAAATTATTTACATTAATTTAATTTATCTATTCAGGTAATCTGCTTCTTTAACTATCCAAATGGACCCCTGGTACAGTGCCAAAGATGTCCTACTATGTGATCTGTGTGAAATACCTGTTCACCAAATGTACTGTCACTACTGCGACTTTTGTCATGTCAAACTCTGTAAGGCCTGTGTAGGGGAGCATCTCTCTGATTTATCTGAAGAACATAGAGTGGTACCATTTAAACAAAAGGGAATCACACCTAACTATCCCAAATGCCCAACCCATGTTGGAAAACTTTGTGAACTTCACTGTAAGGAATGTGACATTCCTGTTTGTTCACTCTGTCTGTTGTCCATCTTCCACAAAGGACATAATTTATTGAACTTGCAGGAGGAAAACAAACCAAAAAAAGAGGCAACAGAAAAAGATCTTGATGAATTATTAAATTCAATATGCCCAAAATATGAAGAAAATTTAGCAGTGATACAGAGAGAGAAAACAGGCCTGGAAAAACATTACGAGAAACTGACCACAGATGTTGTCAAACGAGGAGAAGACTGGCACAGAGAAATTAATGTCGTTGTCAACAAACGAAAATCTGAAATTGATGAGATGAAAACAAAACACATGGCTGCTCTAGATAAACAGGAACATGAAATCACTAGTATAATCGCAGAAGTGAATCAGTGTATTGTTGATCTGAGGAGAAAACTGGACTCCAACGATGCCTCTCCTTCTGCATACATATCCAGAAATGTAGAATTCAGAAGTTTACCTCCTAAACTCTCATTACCACATTTCTGTCCTCTGAAGATCAACACAGAACAGCTCCATCAAATGTTTGGTTCTCTGTCAGAATTATCCATTACAACAGAAGAACATGACTACACAATGAAGAAACCAGATCATGGTAATGTGATGAGGATACCACAAGCTGTACTCTATCCTCAAATGGAACCAGAAGCTGAATACTGTCCTCCAGTCAAACCACTGCTTGATGAACCAGAGCTCATCACCACCATAGACACTGGGTATAAATATCTATACAACGTTACTTGTCTCAATGATGAAGAAATCTGGACATGTGGATTAGATAAAATTATGAAACTCTACAACCTCCAGGGCAAACTACTGAAGGCAATCCAAACCAAGTCGGGGAACACACCTCGTGATATTGAAAAGACGTGGAGTGGAGATCTAGTTTACACTGACCCTAATGCAAGGACTGTTGACATAGTATATAATAACCAGATACAGGAAGTGATCAGACTACGGGACTGGACACCTCACTATGTTTGTAATATCTCATACGGTGACTTTCTGGTTACCATGGTTAGTGATGATGGAGAACAATCAAAAGTTGTCCGATACTCTGGCTCCACAGAAACACAAACCATTCAGTTTGATAATGAAGGTAAACCTCTCTATTCATCTGGTGACCTTAAATACATCAGTGAGAACAGGAACCTGGATATCTGTGTAGCTGACAATAGAGCTGGTGCAGTAGTTGTGGTTAATCAGGCAGGAAAACTCCGATTTAGATACACTGGTCATCCCTCTACTGACAAGGGATCATTCTATCCACTTGGTATCACAACAGATAGTCAGAGTCACATACTGACATCAGACTGTGAATTCCACTGTATCCACATCCTAGATCAGGATGGACAGTTCCTCCGTTACATTGATAACTGCGATCTAAAGTATCCATGGGGATTATGTGTAGACATGAGTGACAACCTCTTTGTGACCGAGTTGAACAGTGGTAAAGTGAAGAAAATCAAATACGATCATCATATGATCAGATAAACGATGACATATAGTCGTTTGACCAGTTTTGATTTATGAGTGAATAATTAAATTCAAAAGTGTAAATATAAATTTATATGTAATAACATTATATGTTGAAGGACAAAATAGCTATTAAAAGAGCTACATGTATAATTGTTTCATATTTTAAATGACCTCATCCTTTAATTTGTCCTTCACTAATTTCAAGATCAAATGTCAATGAATTTATTGTTGTTGGTCCAGTGTGTTAATGACTTGCAGATTTAGAAAAAAAATCATTATTCGTAAACATCAGAAACTCTCAGGGGTTATAACCTATAGTTGGGCCAAAAATCATTTTGCAATGAAAAGATTGGAAAGTCCCCTCAAGTTGTCAAACAGTTAAAACATTGGCAAAGGTGCTATATCCTTTTCCTCCAATGTACTGTGATTTCTGTCGTGTTAAACTCTGTAAGGCATGTGTCTCTCTGATTTATCCAAAGAACATAAAGTTGTCTAATTTAAACAAAGTGATTCTGCATACAATTAACCAAAAATACGCCACATATATAAATAAGCCTTGTGAGCTTCACTGCAGGAAATGTAACATTCCTGTTTGTCCCTTTTGTGTATCTGACAAACATAACGGGCATACATACATTCCAGATATCTTGCACGACTTCAAAAAGGGGGAAATGAAGAAAGACCTTCAAGAACTGAAAAAGTATTTTAAAATATGAAGAAACTAAATCAGAGATAGATGTTGAAAAATCAAATCTAGACAGGGAGTATGGGAAACTGATAACAGCATTCATAAAAAGGAGAAGACTGGTTCAAAAAAATTAACAACATTGTCAAAAAACAAAAATCTGAAATAAATTAGATAAAAACTAAACAACTAGCTTTGCTACGAAAACAGGAGAGTACAATCAAACATAAATGTCTTGTAGTCATAGTATTCTTGATCTGAAGAAAATGCTGGACTTAAATGATGTCTCTCTAACATCTGGTTACAAATCTCATAATGAAGAATGTAGAAAATTGCCCTTCACAGTAAAAGTTTCATTGCCGCGTTTCTCTCCTCAGGTGATCAGAACAGAACAGCTCCATCAGATGGTTGGTTCTTTGTCGATATTACCCATTTCAGCAAAAGAACATGATGATGCATTGAAAATAATAAAATCTTCACAGTCTTTGCTCTGTCCTGAATTCGAACCAGAGCTTACTATACAAACAAAGGCCCTCATACCAACTGACTTTCTCATCCTATACAGTGTTGCCTTCTCAGTGATGAAGAAATCTGGACATGTGTAGATGACAAAATTATGAAGCTCTACAACCTCCAGGTTAAACTACCGAAGTCAATCAAAACCAAGTCAGGAAACTTTCCAGGTGATATATAGCAGTAACAAAAATTGGAGACCTAGTCTATACTGATCCAAAAACAAGAACTGTAAACACTGTAAAGAATGAAAAGATACGGGAAGTAATCAGACTTCGAGGGTGGGATGCATGTAATGTATGTGGTACCTCCTCTGGTGACCTCCTGGTTACAATGAACAGGGATGACAAAGAGCAATCAAAGGTTGTCCGTTACTCTGGCTCCACAGAGAAACAATCCATTCACTTTGATAGTGAAAGTAAACCTCTGTATTCGTGTAGTCCCAACAAATACTAGTATGTCAGTGAGAATGGAACCTTGATATCTGTGTTGTTGACTATGGAGCAAGTGCAGTAGTGGTGGTTAATCAGGCAGGAAAACTCCGATTTAGATACAATGGTTTTCCAAAATGTTTTGGTACTTCATTCTATCCGCTAGGCATTACAACAGACAGCCAGAGTCAGATCCTGACATCAGACTACCTTAACCACCGTATCCACCTTCTAGATCAGGATGGACAGTTCCTCGGTTACATATATAGTGGGGAACTCTATAATCCGTACGGTTTATGCTTAGACACCAAAGAAAACGTTCTTGTAGCTGATTGGGAAAGAAAATTGGTAGTAAAAATGAAATACAAATGATTTTGGAAGGCTTCAACTTTGATCTCTGGAATTTCCGTCATATATTGTTACTCTTCTAATGTTACTCTTGAAAGGTATTGTGTTGATGGAAATTTAATCTCGATCTCTTTGAATTTTCAAACACAAGAATGTCTTTTTCTCAGGAAAGTACAGAAGTAAGAACACAGTCCTTTGAAGATCATTTCCCTGGACCTCGAGACAACAACTGATTGTAACCAGATCTTAAAAATTAAAAAAAGGACAAATACGTCTAAGAAATATTTTGGACAAATTAACTGTTAATCACGATACTTGTATTATTGATCCTTTACAGACTTTCCACCAACTAAACAGTTCACAAAGAAGATCAACCCGATTTCATCATTTATGTCCTGAATATCTAATCGACATGTTTATGTAATTTTATTTGTAGATATCATGGGAATATCACAAAGTGTTCTTTGATATTAATATGTGCTTTAAATTTCATCTTATATATGTTCATTTCATCAGTATATGTACATATTGAATTTCCTCCATATATCAGTCCTCCCGTAATATCAAATACATACCCAAATTTAACTTGCCATCATCTTAAAAACAATTTACAAACAACAACTCATCTCTTTGTCATACTTTGTAATGTTAAAGCCTTTACTTTGTGCCAAAGAAGTCGGTTCACTTTATGCATAAAATGGCGCTGTAGATAAACAAATTAATTGATCAACACTTGATTTTCTATTTGAAGCATTAAAATAAAATAGAGACGTGGTGCTTTCATATCCTATAAAAAAATTTTCCTCAAAGTCCAGGTCTTGGAGAAATGGCTTTATGAAATTGCAATATTCTTGAATTTTTAGGTAAACAGATATAATTGAGTACTTTCAGTGAAGAGAAAAAAATATGAGCGCACCCTCTGATCTAAAAACTAAAAGATGACCATGAATCCTCAGAAACAGTTCTATCATTTACTAGTTGCATATTTTAGATCAGAGGTTGCACTCTATATCAAATATCAAAAAATAACTTTTAAAATAGGCTGTTTTTGTATACTTTTTCGGAAAATGAGGAAATTGACGCATTTCGTGACGTCATAATGCATTGACTAGCCAGAAAATTACGTCATTCTTTACAGGATCGTAGTCACCAAGATCTAAGTGAAATTTTAATGCATTGTTATCCAAAACTATGCAGTTTCAGTTTTTCAGAAATTCACAGGGCCAAATAAGGCAAAAGTGAACCTTGTTCTTTGTAACATCACAAATATAGCACGAATACATGCAGGTACTCTTTTCGTGGGGGAGGTAATTTTTACTGATGTATGGTATAAAGGCGATTTTTTGAACTTCCTAGTTCATGCAGTTTGGGACGTTGTTCACTTCTATTAACACCTTGATTGAACTACCCCAAAGCAAGTTTTGGACGTTGGTCACTTCTATTAACACCTTCATTGAACTGCCCCAAAGCATTTGTAAATATTGAAAACTCGTATACCGGTATCTACAGAATATTTTATTAAACCCATAATTATATTTGGGTTAGAATCCATCTTTTTCCATTGGATTAATTGCAGTATGGTGACAGAATCAGCTGATTATTAGGATCTTCCGATCTTCTGCTTCGGAAGACCCTTCTTTTATCCTATTGATTTTTCACTTTTTCATATTTTTCAAACACATTTTTGTCAGCTGATTTCTAAGATTTTTTGCTCGATTGTTATGAAACTCTCGGGATAGATACCTACTCCTGCATGCTAGAGGTTCACTGCTAGATACTTTTGACTTGGCGTCGAGGTATATACATATCAAGAGCGTAGGAACGTTAACCGAGGCTCTTATACTTGTAGGAGTAGATAGATACCTTATCTTATGGCCTAACAACAGTTTTTTAGCTCAGCCGAGCTGAAAGCTCAAGTGAGTTTTTCTGATCACCCGTTGTCCGTCGTCTGTAAACTTTTCACATTTTCAACTTCTTCTCATTAACCACTGGGTCAATTTTAACCATCCTTGAGTAAAGGGGAGTTTAAGTTGATAAAATGAAGGGCGTTACAAGTCCCGTTACAAGGTGAGATAATCAAGAAAAGACGAAAATAAAACTTCAGAATACTAGTATTTCATCACTATGCTGATATTCATGAAGCATTAATATTTATAAAGTTCATTGTTAGAATACCTGCCCATCTATCGAAGGTTTTTTGAATTTATTTAATACCTATTTCAAAGCTTTGAAATACACTGTAAAAGATGATAAAAGATTGACAGATTTTAACACACTCAGGCAGATATGGGTTGTAATATTTTAATTAATTTACTTCATTATCAGTAAAACTATTGTTGAAAAAAAACCCACACTTTTTACTTGATTGTCTTGTGTATAAAAATGTCAGAAAAAGTATTCAAGATTACTAGATCTTAATAACTTGTCTTGTTTGCTTAATCCACATAACTTTGTATGTACAAAACAAATCTGTCTATATATCAGAGACTGTTTTGATATTAGAAACAAGCTTACAATAGTATAATATTTTTCAATACATGTATATGGCTAACAACACATTCCCGTACATAAATATGTGCTTTAGTGCCAATAAAGAATTGAATTATTAATATTTTTTTTATTATCACTTTAAAATGTTATTAGTAAATCCCTCAAAACTGCTCTGATCTATTTTTTTCTTACCCTCAGACTATTTTTTTTCTCCCTTCTTTTTTTTTCCTTTTTCCTTACGGCGAGCTTAAACAACACTGAATGTATTACAATAGCGGGATCTGTCGCTGTATGTACAGTTCTACAGCTATTTGCATCAATGTCAGAAACTCACAAATTTTATTGTGTCATAGAACCTATGAATTGCTAACCCATTGAGTAACAAGACAGGAAACAGCCAATAACCATACGAAAAATGAAAGACTTACATACTGTAGGCAATTTCTTTAAATTCTAATTCCATTCTTTTTGTTTGTTCTTTTTTAACATACTTCACAATGTGACCACGAGCTCCAGTTCACAACTCCAATTCATGAATTACACAGTGCCGGTTATAAATTGATTCGGTGGAATGTACAGCCATGATGGAGAATCGACTGTAAAATGTAAGGTTTTTTTCTTTGCATTTACTTTCTCTCTGATCTAACTTATTAATTTATTTAATGTGTTGTTCATCATTGCTTTCACATCATGTTTTTGCATAAATAATTTTGGTAGTTATTTTTCAATTTACATCTTTGAAAAAAAGGGCACTACATGGAGGTTAATCTGTTAATGACTAATGTAAAATAGGAGTATTATTCATGCACTTCTATATACATACATGTATATATTTTCATTAACTTTCAGTGTCCGTGGAATATATCATTGATTAATAGATAGAAAGTATCACTTGATACCATATATTAAAAAAATATTTTATGAGAAAAATTGTGTCAGAAAATGTGCATATTTTATGAGAAATACACCTTCTTATTTCTGTCCTTTTTGTGAAAACCATCATTGCAATAATAATAAATGTTTATCATTGAAGTGCAAGTTGGACGTTAATGGTGTCTGAAAGGCTTTTATTGAAAGCATGACGTATATAAAGACAAGACCCCTGTAGAACCCGCCATTTGCATTAACTGTACTTTCGCTTTCAAGTCCTAACATTTGGACAAAATAAACAAGGAAAACAACTTTCCAGAGGCTATCCAAGTCCAACTAGCCCTTCATTGATTAACATATTTTGTTTCTGCAGTGTGATGGTTTTCACTTAGAGCACGGAATTTATTACTAGGTACATTTTCTAAAAAAAAATTGCATTTTTAAAAAGATTTTTTCTCAGTTTAATTATTTTTTCCAAGAATTTTTATCTAGTGATACTTTCTATCTGTTAATCAATAAAAAATTTATAAACTGTCAAAGTTTTAACTTTATACCTTCCATGGTTTTGAATTATTGTAAAAATATTTTTTTGAAATGTTGACCTTTGACGAAACCTTAACATTTATTGGAACATAGTAAAGTTTAAAGTTCTCGACTCCAACTTACGACTTAGCATCACCAGGGCTTGTCTTCAGGATTTTTATATGTAAAATAAATTCATATAATTTTGAATCTACTTTATAAAATTTGAATAACTTCAAATACACTAAAATTTCATAAAAAACCATATTATACAGTAAAATGACCAAGATTGAAATGTGATTGGTCATTGAGACCATAACTTACACTCTCAAAAGAAATGGGCAGATCTAAGGACTGGGAGGACTTCCCTGGAATTTTTATGACTTAGAACTTTGTCAAGTACATGTATAAGGCAATAAGTTTGTTATTAAGAGAGATCTAGGGAGCTGGAGAGAGCTGGCCTGGGAAGACATAAAACTTAGACGAGCTCACTTTTGATCTCCGTCTCACTTTTCCACTATATATTCCTTTGGAAAAAATGAGACTGAGATCAAAAGTGAGCTCGTCTTAGTTTTATGGCCCCAGGCCTGGGGTCATCTCAGTGGAAACCAGACTGAAATACAAATTACTTTGCCATTCAAAAAAATAATCATACTGATTGAAATTATGTATCATTTCCAATCCCAGTTGTCCTCTACAGGTTTTACTTCTGACAGTGGAGGAGAATGAGGATGGGGGTCTGACCAAAAGCCTGACCCTGAGGCAGTTCACACCTAGGAAACACTTTTAAACTAGCAAGAAATGTGATGTAAGTGAACCTCTTACTAATTTGGATCTTGGGGTTTATGCAAGTTGATTTTTTGTCTAATTTATTTATCAATCTTTTTATTTATTTATTTCATTTAATAAGTATTTATTTTTGGGGAAAATAACTCCAGTCTGACATTTGTTATACTTTTCGTACACTCACTGTTTCTATACACTTATATTCTTTTCTGTTTCATATCGTTAGGTTCTATTCTAAAATACTCATATGAACTTAATTTAGGGAATAACCATCTCCTAATTTGGTATTTGCGACCGTTAATGCTGATTTAACGGTCGCAAACTGAGTTTTACCGACGACGCCTAAGCGGAGCAATTAAAACGGATGTTTGCGACCGTTAAATCAGCATTAACGGTCGCAAATACCAAATTAGAAGATCAGTAATTCCCATTCTAATGCAATCCATGCATCGTGTTTGTTGTTTATGTCTTATTTTGATGAATTTTGTTACATGAAATACGTCACGGAGCATTGTTTTTTGCGTCGCTCTATTATGACGTCACAATGAAAAAGCTTTCACGCTCGTTAATGCTCATTTTACTGCTTCAAACATCAGTGCATTAGCCAATGAAAACGTGTTTTACAAAACAATTGCATTAGAATTATCTGTTGTAGGTAATCTGCTTCTTTAAATATTCAAATGGATCCGCGGTTCAGTGCCCAGGATGTCCTGCGCTGTGACTTGTGTGAGACTCCTGTTCCTCCAATGTACTGTGACTTTTGTCATGTTAAACTCTGTAAGGCCTGTGTAGGGGAGCATCTCTTCGATTTATCCAAAGAACATAAAATTGTGCCATTTAAGCAAAGTGAATCTGCATACAATTACCCAAAATGCGCCACACACATAAATAAGCCTTGTGAGCTTCACTGTAAGAAATGTAACATTCCTGTTTGTTCTTTTTGTGTATCTGACAAACATAACGGGCATACATTTCGAAACATATTGCAAGACTTCAATGCCAAAAAGGAGGAGATGAAGAAAGACCTTCAAGAACTGAAAAAGTATTTACTACCTAAATATGAAGAAATTGGATCAGAGATAGATGTTGAAAAATCGAATCTAGACAGGGAGTATGGGAAACTGATAACAGCTGTCGTGAAAAAAGGAGAAGACTGGCACAGAGAAATTAACAACATTGTCAAAAAACTAAAATCTGAAATTGATGAGATGAAATCTAGACAACTAGCTTTGTTACTAAAGCAGGAGAATACAATCAAACATAAATGTCTTGAAGTCAGGCAGAGTATTCTTGATCTGAAGAAAATGCTGGACTTGAATGATGTCTCGCTAACCTCTGGTTACAAATCTCATAATGAAGAATTCAGAAAATTGCCGTTCACAGTAAAAGTTTCATTGCCGTGTTTCTCTCCTCAGGTGATCAAAACAGAACAGCTTCGTCAAATGTTTGGTTCTTTGTCGGTATTACCCATTTCATCAAAAGAACATGATGATACATTGAAAATGATAAAATCTTCACAGTCTTCGGTCTGTCCTGAAGTCAAACCAGAGCTTACTATACAAACAAAGGCCCTCATACCAACTGACTTTCTCAACCTATACAGTGTTTCCTGTCTCAGTGATGAAGAAATTTGGACATGTGGAGATGACAAAATCATGAAACTATACAACCTCCAGGGTAAACTACTGAAATCAATCCAAACCAAGTCTGGGAACATACCAGGTGACATAGCAGTGACAAGGAGTGGAGATCTAGTCTATACTGATCCAAAAACAAAAACTGTAAACATTGTAAAGAATGGAGAGATACGGGAAGTAATCAGACTTCGAGGGTGGGATTCATGCAATATATGCAGTACCTACTCTGGTGACCTCCTTGTTACCATGAACAGTGATGACAAAGAGCATTCAAAAGTTGTCCGTTACTTCGGCTCCATAGAGAAACAATCCATTCAATTTGCCGATATTGGTCAACCCCTGTATTCGTGTGGTCCCAACAAATATGTCAGTGAGAATGGGAACCTGGATATCTGTGTGGCTGACTATGGGGCAAGTGCAGTAGTGGTGGTTAATCAGGCAGGAAAACTCCGATTTAGATACACTAGTTATCCAAAATGTTCTGGTACTTCATTCTATCCTCTAGGCATTACAACAGACAGTCAGAATCAGATCCTGATATCAGACTGCCTTAACCACCAAATCCACCTTATAGATCAAGATGGACAATTCCTCCGTTTCATATTTAATGAGGATCTCTATAATCCGTACGGTTTATGCGTAGACACCAAAGAAAACATTCTTGTAGCTGATTGGAAAGGGAAATCGGTATTAAAAATGAAATACAAATGATTTTCGAAGGCTTCAACTTTGAACTATGGAATTTCCGTCATATTGTTACTCCTCAAATGTACTATTTTTATCCAAATTCAATCTCGATCTCTTTGAATTTTCAATCACAAGAAAGCCTGGAAGTACAGAAATAAAAACACAGTCCTATTATGACCATTTCTCTGGACCCCAAGACAACAATTAATTGTAACCTGCTCTTAAAAAACAAATTGTTCTTAGAAATATTTTAGACAAATGCGAAATTAACTGTTAATCACGATATTTGTATTATTGATCCGTTATAAACTTTACATCAACTACGGTAAACAGTTCACAATGAAGATCAGCCCGATTTCATCATTTATGTCCTGAATATTTAATCTTCATCATATTCATGTATGTGTAATTTTGTTTGTAGATATCCTGGAAATATCACAAAGTGTTCTATGATAATAAAATGTGCTTTAAATTTCATCCTATATATGTTCATTTCATAAATATGTACATACTGGAATTTCCTCCACTATATCAGCTAGCCCTCTCGTAATATTTAAGGTTGCTATGCAATATTATTTAACACACATTGTACATACATATGTACCCAAATTTAACTTGGCATCATCAAAACAATTTACAAACAACAACTCATCCTTTTAATTGTATTGGAATTAGAATCTGATGCAATATCTTGTTTCCTTTGTGTGAATTGCTGCATGGATGACACAATCAGCTGATAATTAGGATCTTTCGAGCTTCCGCTCCGGAAGACCCTTCTTTTATCCTATTGATTCTTCAATTATATTAAACAAAATTTTTGTCAGTCGATTTCCCAGAGATTTTTTGATCAATTGTTATGAATTACTCAGGAAATTTACCTTATCTTATGACCCAACAACTGTTTTTAGCTCAATTGAGCTGATAGCTCAAGTGAGTTTTTTTTTTCTGATAACCTGTTGTCTGTAAATTTTTCACATTTTGAATTTCTTCTCAACAACCACTGGATCAATTTTAACCAAACTAGGTACAACCCCCCCTTTAGTAAAGGGGAGTTTAAGTTGATAAAATGAAGTGCCAAGTCCCGTTACAAGGTGAGGTAATCAAGAGAAGATGAAAATGAAATTTCAAAATATTTCAACACTATGCTAATATTAATGAAGTATTATATTTATAAAGTTCGTTGTCAGAATACCTGTCCAACTATCCAAGGTTTTTTTTTAATTTATTTAATTCCCATTTTAAGGACAGATGATAGAAACAGATTTTTTCTTTGAAAAAGATTTAAAGGTACTTGGACACAGATTTGAAGTTAATATTTTCTGTATATTTCTGTATAATATCACGAATTATATAATATTTAAATAGCATTTCACACAAAAATTAATTAAAAATCTTATTTCGTTTAAAAGTAGTTAAAACTTTAAATTTTTTTGGCGGGTTTGATTGACACATCCTTTCACTTTCACAATTTTAACTTTATTCTTAATCCTTAGGAAAAGTGGCAATCTTGTTGTGTATTAATGAGAAACATTGAAACTTAAATCCGGAAAATAATTTTATTTGGGGTAAAAATGTTAGAAAGCAAAAGTCCTTCGCAAGTATTGTCATTCCGTTGTGTACAGAGTTTAGCATATCGAGCACACTCGTGTTATGTACACAGTTTTTGTAAACAGCGGGAAAGCTCTGTTATTGTTTGGTGTTTTGGTTCACCGGGTGCGTTTAAACGCCAAAGCCTGCTCACAACAACTACACGGACTGACAATATATTGTGTGTTTGTTTTGCTTTAGAACATGTCTACTCTGAATTTTCTGGATTATAGTATTAATATTTTTCATTAACAAACAACAATAATGTCAATTTTCCTAAGGATTAAGAATAAAGTTAAAATTTGTGAAAGTGCACAGATGTGTCAATCAAACGCGCCAAAAAAATTAAAATTCTAATAACTTTTAAACGAAATAAGATTTTTAATTAATTTTTGTGTGAAATGCTATTAAAAATAAGTCGTAATATTATAG